TGGAAAAAATAATATGTGTGTGGCAGCAATGCGTTACCGTAACAAAACGCCTGTCACGTCACGCAGGTCGTTTTAACTAGAAAATTATGTCGTTATAACGAGAAAAATATGTCGTTTTAACGAGAAAAATATGTCGTTTTAACGACATCAACGTTAAGGATGCAAGCTGCCGTTAAAACCCAAAGAAGAAGAAGAAGTTGTGCTTGGAGTTTTGGCCGGAGAGAATGGCGTCGGCGTGGGGAGATACTTTGGATGGCGACAATGATCAAGACATGGATTTTCAGGAAGTAAGATACAATAAAAGGAAAAAAAGAGCAGCATGGGTGATGGATCTGATTGTGAGCAAACAATTAATAAAGTAAGACATACGAGAATTGAAGCTGATAAAGAGGTTGAAGAAAGAGAAATCAAAGTGATAATTACTTTTGCTAAGCAGTCAGAACAACAAACTCATCCTGTTAAACTGTCAAAAGCAATTGAGAAAGAGATAGGGATAGTGAAAGCTGTATCTTGTCTTAGCAACTTCAGTACAGATTCATCACCCATGTGTGCAAGATATACAGTAGGTGGCGGTAATACTCCTAAGGAGAGAACGGCTATTGAACAAAAAGAAGAAGAAGAAGAAGAAGAAGTTGTGCGTGGTGGTGACGTAATTGCCCTGCGACGTTACCGGAAGAGACGTGGCAAAAAATGCAACCTGCTATAAAAATATAGAGGATAGTACCTGAGAGTGTACAGTTCCATGTTGATATTTGCATCAGTTTGTGGTTAACTGGTATTTTTATTGATCTTTTAAGGTAAATATAGTATTGTTTCACTATTAATATGTTGATTAGTTGCGAGAAGTATGTTGCAGTCGAACAGCTAACGTTAACCATCCGTGTACAGTCACTGTCACTTACATTTACCTTCTGTCTGACTAAATAATGGCACAGTTTTGTATATGTATTAACTACCGGAGTTGACAGTTTATATTCAAGCTATATATTAAAGTGCCAAGAAGAGCTGCATCGGCTAAATGTTTTATATTTAAAAAATGTATGTTTTGGGAGTACATTAGAATCCACCCTCGAATCAAGGCGGATTTGGTGTACTCGAGTTAACAGATGTATTCTGGATGATTATATATGGATCTTTTGCTTGACAGACAGACCATGGGTTTATGCAAGTGTCCTAAGAGGAAGGTAACGAACTTGTTCTGCTTTGAACATCGTGTCAACGTTTGTGAGCACTGTCTTGTATCCAATCACAATAAGGTTAGTGCTCTAATATTTAGTTAAAATTCATGACTGAAAGTAGGGCTGCACGATTATGACAAAATCATAATTGTCGATTATTCCCTTGAATAACATAAGTGGACTTTGAACGATTAATTGCCGCTTTGAACGATTTACCGGAAGAGACGTGGCAAAAAATGCAACCTGCTATAAAAATATAGAGGATAGTACCTGAGAGTGTACAGTTCCATGTTGATATTTGCATCAGTTTGTGGTTAACTGGTATTTTTATTGATCTTTTAAGGTAAATATAGTATTGTTTCACTATTAATATGTTGATTAGTTGCGAGAAGTATGTTGCAGTCGAACAGCTAACGTTAACCATCCGTGTACAGTCACTGTCACTTACATTTACCTTCTGTCTGACTAAATAATGGCACAGTTTTGTATATGTATTAACTACCGGAGTTGACAGTTTATATTCAAGCTATATATTAAAGTGCCAAGAAGAGCTGCATCGGCTAAATGTTTTATATTTAAAAAATGTATGTTTTGGGAGTACATTAGAATCCACCCTCGAATCAAGGCGGATTTGGTGTACTCGAGTTAACAGATGTATTCTGGATGATTATATATGGATCTTTTGCTTGACAGACAGACCATGGGTTTATGCAAGTGTCCTAAGAGGAAGGTAACGAACTTGTTCTGCTTTGAACATCGTGTCAACGTTTGTGAGCACTGTCTTGTATCCAATCACAATAAGGTTAGTGCTCTAATATTTAGTTAAAATTCATGACTGAAAGTAGGGCTGCACGATTATGACAAAATCATAATTGTCGATTATTCCCTTGAATAACATAAGTGGACTTTGAACGATTAATTGCCGCTTTGAACGATTATGTAATTGTGGCATCCATAATTGTAATCGCGATTAGAAATTCGTTTAATTGTGCAGCCCTAACTGAAAGGGATAGTTCACCCAAAAAATAAAATTCTGTCATCATTTACTTAGCCTCATATCGTTCCACATTTCTTTCTTTCTTTCTTTCTTTCTTTCTTCGATAGAATGCAAAATAATATATAAAAAAAAATGTTGGTAACCAAACAGTTTCGGTTCCCATTGACTTCCATGGTATGGACAAAATACAGTGGAAGTCAAACTACTTGGCTTATCAGCATTCTTCAAAATTATCATCTTTTGTACATACAAAAATGCATCACAAATGCATGCAAGATTTGTGATGGCATGAGCGTGAGTAAATTATGACAGGATTTTCACTTTTGGGTGGATTATCGCTTTAAGGAGAAAATATATTTTGAAAATGTATAAACACAAACACTTTTGTTTTATGTTACTTTTATTTGTACAGTGTATTGTACAGTCATACCTACAGTGGCTACAAGACAGCGATTACAACCCAAACTGCAGCCTGTGCAGCCAGCCCTTAGATTCCCAGGAGACTGTTCGGCTAGTTTGTTATGGTGAGAACAACAGGCATAATGTTTTACAGTGAACTCAGTCTGAGAGTTTAAAAAAAGAAAAAAGCAAGTAGGCATTTTACATAGTGTATGAAGCCCTGCATTATTGTGGCTTTTAGGGGTGTACCGGTACACAAAAATAATGGTTCAATACGTACCTTGTTTTGAAGTTACGATTCCAGTATATTGTCCATACAGCAGGGGAAAATAGAAATAAAGCGGTGTTAATTAAAACTGTTAATTAAAAAGAAAACAGTCTTATAAAGCTGTATTCTGTATGGAATTAAGCTGTATGCTTTGAAACGCCCTATATGAGGCACTTGCAACAGCCATTTTCTCACAGCAGCTCACCCTGTCCTGCGTTTAATTCTAATATGTATATAATTGGTGTTGTCCTATATCACATTTAAAAGTAGTTTCATTTAAATAGTTTCTAAATACATTCCGCACACACAAAAGTTCTGCACGTACAGTGGTTAAAACAACACTGCATTCACTTAGTCCACACACAAACTGAACCAAAAGACCCATACCAAATATATTTGGTACGATTGTGTGCACCTTTTACACCCTAGTGGAATTTTTACATTTTCTTTTTATTTATTTCTTTTTTTTAATTTTTTTTGTCTCTCATTACATCTAATTTATTTACCATGTCAGATTTATTCCACTGGTCATGTCTGAATGAGCTCGCCTCCCGTCAGCCTTTCTACACGGCACCTGCTGGGTACCAGTGCCCTACATGCCAGGGTCCAGTGTTCCCACCCCCAAACCTGGCCAGTCCTGTTGCAGACATGCTGAGAGAACAACTGTCCTATGTCAACTGGGCTAGAGCAGGACTGGGCCTTCCGCTGGTGAGGGAGAATGTGATTATATGGTTTTGATACACTTATGTCAAAACTATAGACACACACATACTCCTCCTTTATTAATGCTATTTACCACATCTGAGTTAAATAGTAGGACATTAGTAAACTAGATGAGTAAAGTTTGTGAACAAACTTTGAAGTTGGCTTGAGTAAACCTAGCCTGAAAGTTTGAAGCAGTTGTAAGCGCTTGATGTTTAAAGTTTAGATAGATAGATGTTGATAGCATGTTTTTAATATGGTTAGAATGTTGCTGGCATGTTTTTAGCATGATTTAGCACAATTAGCATGTTGCTGGCATGTTTTTAGCATGACTAGCACATTGCTAACATGTTTTAGTATGTTGCTAACATGAAAAGTCCTAGGATAGTCATTAAGCTTTGCTGGTGATAGACAGCTTAAATACTCTATAAGTCTTACTGTACAAAAGGTTTGACTCCCTCAGTGAAAGTCTATGAGTCAGACCAGTCCTGAGTTTGGTGATTGTAGCTTGAAAGCTCTAGGAGGAGATACATTTTAAAATTTAGTCTCAGAAGAAGAATAATTAAGAAGCTTATAGTAGATAAGTAAGTTGGATTTCTCAAGACAACTTAATAATCAAAATTATATAAGTAAAATAACTAAAAAAACGAATGTATATTCTGTATATTGTAGTTTGTTTAAAGGGTGGATGCTTTGTCTAGATATCAGCACTGCAGTTTTGGAGTTGGATAGTGAGGACTGCCTAATATCAAAATATGTTTACAACTTTGAATTGAATTAGTTTAAAATTGAATTAAAATCAGTTCAGTAGGATTGAGTGATCTGTCAAAATAATTAGACGGTCTAGAGGCCTATTGACACTGAATGGGAGATGAAACTTTTACAGTATATATACCTTCATGAGTATGTTCAAGACATTTGTCTTTGAAAATTAATTAACACTGATTTAGCCATTAATTTGCATTGATATATTGTTACTTCTTTCTATCTAGATTGAAGATCCACCAAAGAGTGAGGAAAGTACAACACATGACATTACATGCTACTCTGAGTGGTCATCTTTTGAGAGTGAGTTTGTCATAATTGTAATTTACACTTTTTCCCATGTGTCTTGGAAAGCATAGAAATCTGATGCAGTTTTGCTGGCATAGAAAAAAAGAGAAAAAAAGTTTTGGTTATAAGTTTACATAAACCTTGCAGAATCTGCAAATTGCATGCATTTTATTTAGTACTACTGTTCTTAATAAGCTATTTTAATAATAATAAAAATAATAATAATAAGCTATTTAACAGATGTGTGCATATACATGTAGTACATACATACATGTAGTAGTTGTTAAAAGCAGTGGTGTAATGTAACAAAGTAATAATACTTTGTTACAGAACTTAAGTATTTTTTGGGAGTATCTGTACTTTACTTGAGTTTTTATATTTCAGCCAACTTTTACTTTTACTTCACTACATTTCCTAATTAAAATGTATACTTTTACTCCGATACATTTCCCCGAAGCATATTCGTTACTTACTACAAAATAGTCAGAATAACACAGAAAGCAGGTTTGATGAATCAGTGGTCTGGCGCTTGCAAGTTAGACTCCTAAAAACACCTTTGCTCATGTGCAAACAAGTGCGCTCACAACCACGGATGATTTCGTTTTCCACTCAAGTCGAGTTTGGGGTGTGCGATATACAGTCAGGGTTCGTACGGTCATGAAAAACCGTACGTAATGGAATTTTAAAACACCAATTTCCAGGCCTGGAAAAGTTTTGGAAAAATAAATAAACCCAGAAAGTTTTGGAAAAGTCATTGAAATCTATTTCACAAAACTCTGTATAATAGAATTGTGTTTAATCAGGTCCTGAATTTCGGTGCGGGATTGCGCATAGGCTATATTGCATAGTTTTACTCATTCCCGCAGCTTTTGACTTTAAAATGATGGATATTCACACATTTATTCAATAGCCTATAGCATGTAGGTTTGATGAGTAAATAATCAAACCTACAGACTGAGTCCAGTCCACACAGACTGATCAAATCAGTCATTTGAAAACAGCGTGAGTGATTCAGCTGTACGCGTCTTCTCTCTTTGACTTTCTCTTCAAACGGCTTCACATCGGCGCATCTTGTCTGCGCTACAAGAGCCGCTGCACGCTGCGATACAAGACTTTCACTCGCATTTCGGGACAGTTGAAAGAATTGTCACTTGCCTAATCGGGTCATTGTTGCATCGTCAGAAAATTTTATTATTTATTTGCACGTCTTTTTAAGCCATTCGGTACTCGCGCGCTCCAGAGGCGGTGCGCAGTCACATCCAAAGTGCGCTCGTGCGTATATAAAGCCACCTTGCCAGTACCAAATTGAGTTTGCTACCAAATAAGCTCAGCAGAACCCTGCACGGACCTCAAACATATGCCCTAGTCCGGCCCTTATCCAACAGATTATCAGAATTACAGGCCGAGTCCGACTGGAGCCCGTGTCTTTTTTCTCTTTCTCTCTTCCCCAATTACACAGCTGCTGTTGTAGCCATTAAAATAGTTCAGTTTCGTTTTTAATGGCAAAAGTGGTTATATATATTTTCGTTTCTTTATTACGTTAATTTAGAAATATGTTTGGAAAATGTTTTTGTTTGTTAAATTCAAGTTTTTGTTTTTTTAAAGTAAGGACCAAGCGGCCAGTGGCAGACAGTGAGTTAATCATAGCCTATGTTTGATCAATTTAGCCTTCTCAAATCATCACCACTTGACTAAAATAAAATCTATAGGCCTATATAAAATGCTTAAAAAAAAATGTTAGTTTAAATGGTTAACCTAGATAAATGTGTGCTATTAGGCGCGTATCCAATCGTTTGTGCAGAGAAGCCAAAGCGCGCTTTGCAGGACATGGAGTCGCCAGCACGATCACTTGCATTTTTTTCTTATAACAGTGGAAACAACCGTAATTTTTGCTCATAAAGGTAAGAGTAATACATCATTCGGGACTGTTAAGGGTCTACTTTTATTTGTGTGCACTCACAATATCAGCATAAGTTGTGCTTTTTTAGAAAACAAACAGGATACGCTTTCTGCTGTCTCGGTCTTGAGCAGGAGCGCTTCACAAAAATGAACCGAAACCCTGCGAATATTCTATTTCCCCTGCCTGGGGCATTCATCACGGTAATTACTTGCTGGCGTTTTGCGGCAAGCTTTGCGTGCGCTTTAACATGGAACTCTTCCAGCCCTCGCTGCTGCTAGACACTAAACACAGTCCGAGCCACTCTTGACAGTCGCAGTAGCACGGTCTCGTGTTGTTTCCACCAGCGCGGCAAATCTTTGTCATCACCATAATAATTGATGGATATCTAATATATAAAAATAAGGAGTTGCAGCTTGTACTTATTACTAAAACAAGAAAGCAAACGAGTAGCATTAATAGTCATTCATTTTAGTTAACATATGCTATGATAATTTGAACAGATTTTTATTCTTATTGTAAAATAATGGAACATTTAGGTCATGAATATTGTCTCAAAAGTCATGGAAATTTATTGGTAAAAATGTGTACGAACCCTGTCTAGGCATGGGCCGGTATGAGATTCTGACGGTACGATAACCTTAGATAAAAAAAATACCACGGTTTCACGGTATCACGGTATTGCGATTACAGCTCTAAAATATGTTATTTTTAAATGTCTGGGTAAAAAAACAACTTCTTTTTCCACTGAACACATTTTATTTTTAAGAAACATATAGAACATTTTGGAACAGTAAACATGTCAGGCTAAATAATTAGAATAAATAATTAAATTATTCTTAATTAAATGCAGTCACTTAAGTGAGCCTAAACCTGCAGCTCAACAATAATCAGAACATAAATAAATTATTTTCTGTAAAAAAAAAA